CGTCTGTTAGCTGACGTAACAGATCTGGCGGTTGGCGCTTTCCTCCGAGCGCGTTCGGCTGTCCAACGACGTTGCATCAGCAGCAGTTCAAAAAGACGCGGTTGAGCTTCACAGGACTCAGAGGAAGCCTGTGTTTGCCTTTGCCCTCCTAGCACTGGTGGTATTGTGTGACTGGGCGAGTCCTAACTAGTGGGTAGAACTGGAGATGACTAAATTGGGGGAAAAAAAAGGCCTGGCTCGTAATTGGTGTTTCAGTTTATCCCAAAGGTGACTGGGGTTGAGGTCAAGGCCAAACCCAGATTCATCTATCACTCACTGTACTGAGAGATGAAAAAGAGGATAAGCTGAATTGTACTTGGTGGCCCTGCTCTTTGAGTCTGCGTGGTCTACTGCTTCGTAGCTGAACTGTTGAACTCACAGTGATAGCAGAATTTCACAAACTGACTTTGGCAACTGACTTTGGCATCCAGTTTAAAGTTACTGAGCTCTTCAGTATGACCCATTGTACTGCCAATGCTCGTCTATGGAGATTGCATGGTTATGTGCTTGATTTTATACACCTATTAGCACTGGATGTGGCTGAAACACCTGGACTCAATCTTTGGGAGGGATGTCCACATACTTTTGGCCATATAGTGTAAATAAGGTGAAGCAAAAGTATCTGAGTGCTGCTGTATCTGTAACAAAATATTCTAGAGTAATTCTACACGACTTGTGCTGAATAGCCAGTCGTCTCTTACTTTTGATGTTCTTTATTTTCATTTATATCATTTAATTAAGCAACTAATTTTTCATTTCCAAATGTAAAATGTTTTGTGTTAAAGAGTAAACAATGTTATTTATGTGATAACTTTGGCTAACAGAATCTGGAAATGTGCTTGTGTGTTTCATGTGTTCATTTATGAAGCACAGCGAACTTCAGCTTAAAACCAGCTAAACAAAATCAGCCATCAACCAATTCGGCTGTAAATAAATCACATTTGTTCACGATACACAGTGAACGCTGCACATCGAACACTGGCACGTCTAATTTACACAATTGTCAAATAGAAACAACATAAACTGTACATATTTAATGAAATATTATTACAACCGATTGTAATCAATTCTAACATAGTGCACCCTTTTACCTAGACTGCCTAGAATCTCTCTCTTTTCTATTCTCTCCAGCCATCTGCAGCTTTCACTCATCCTCCCTTACACTCTCCCTTTCCCTCCCTCTCTCTCTCTGTCTCTCTCTAATCTGTGGGGTTTAACCTGCTGTTGAGTGGACATAGCAGGGCTATAATCCAGGCACACGCACACGCTAGGCTAAAACACTGGGCTTAACACACTCTCCGTCTGGCTGTCCTCCGCTCTGACAGCGAACCAGGAACCTCGACCTGCTTTCAAAACAAAACCATAAACTCTGCCTGAGAAAACACTCTTTACCTGAGCAGCGCCTGGACGACACCCATACAGCAGTTATAGGGCACAAAGCCAAGTTTTAAGGGTGAAACTAAACCTTAACTGCATAAAAGAACAAGAAGAATCAGGCTTTAGAATCTAGCTATGATTTTAGCTACGCAACAGACTTCAGTCAGTGTTTACAGACAGCAAAGATTAAAGCTGCAGGAGCTGAGATTATTATCACAGCCTACATTACCAACAGCGCCGCCTTTAGTTTAAAAGGAAATATTTAATCTTAATTCAATAAAAGAGAGCTGTGGTTGAGTTACACCAATCAGAAGCAGCCAAACACCCATGTGCTGTGACATCACAACCACAACTAACTGGCAGTCTGGTGCAGCGTTCAATACTAAAGCCAGAAAAAAGTGGACAGTCAGGCCTATGAATTAAACAAGCCTTAATTCATGGAAATGATCACAATTTAAACCTGAATTTATAGGAAAATAATCACAATTTAAACCTGAATTTATAGAAAAGTAATCACAATTTAAGTCTGAATTTATGAAAAAAAATCACAATTTAAGACTAAATTTACAGAAAAATAATCATAATTTCAACCTGAATTTATAAAAAAATAATCACAATTTAAGACTGAATTTATAGAAAAATAATCGCAATTTAGAACTGAATTTATAGAAAATAATCACGACATAAGCCTGAATTTATAGAATAGAAATCACAATTTAAGACTAAATTTATAGAAAATAATCACAACTTAAACCTGAATTCATAGAAAATAATTACAAATTAAGACTGAATTTATAGAAAAGAATCACAATATAAACCTGAATTTATAGAAAATAATCACAATTTAGGACTGAATTTATAGAAAATAATCATAATTTAAGACGGAATTTATAGAAAAAAACACAATTTAAACCTGAATTCATATAAAATCCCCCCTAAATTTAGATATTTTCCCCAAAACTGTTTGAGGCACAAGCTCTGCACAATGTTAAGTGATGTGGTGTAAGCTTCTCTGCCTTGTTAGCTACGTTAGCCTCGTAGTGTAACGAATGGGGCGCTGGGTCAGTGGTGGAGGCCGGCAAGTGGGGCATCAGGAATCCGACTGTGAAGCGATTCAGGGCGTTACGACCCTCTGGGTCATACTGTGTTATTACAGATCACATTATGTTGATTACAGACTTGTGGGAGAGGAGATGAACGGGCCCGGTCTCCACCAGGAAGGAGCTGTCTGTAAAAAGGACGTGAACGAGAGGAAGGACGGTGCTTTGCTTCTGACATGGGTTCTGCTGCGTTCCCAGTTCTCCAGTCCCTCATGTGAAGTTTGAATATCTTCCATGTTTCTAACGTGTAGCTGTGATGTTTGTAGGTGAAGGATGTCAGAAACAGCATGTGCCACGTCAACTGGCCCCAAACGAAGCTCTCACAGTTTACAGAGTGCGTTTTTAACCTTTAACCTTTTCTGAAAACAGCATTTGTTCAGGACTATAACCACAACAAATCCCGTCATATTCTTCCAGAGTCAATCTGTCAGGAAAGCAGGACAAAGAGAAACTGCATTCTCAGCAAACAAAGGCTGAGAGAAACGGGCTTCAGAGTGTTTCTCTATCAGAGAATGAGAAACGCTTTACTGTCAGGTCCTGAATTTGTCACGAATTACAGTAAAGGAGAAGCAAACGTAATCAAATGTAGTAGTACAGTAGACTGGGCTGCCATAGGGCTATCACGGTCACTGCATTCTAGCTGACGATTAATGGCCAAATGACCTGATTAGCCAGCTTGCTTCCTACCTATGTATACAAGGTAGTTAACACCACTAAGTATATGATATGACATTCATTATGCTAGCATACATGCTAAAAACATTACATTTAACTACAGGGCTAATAAATAAACGACCATTACTCAGCACTGCCCTCAGCTCTAAGTTAGACGTATGTATTTACTGCTTTCTTTTGTTTATATTTTACTATATATACATAATTATGTTATATACTTGCCCATTTAACGTTCTGCTTGTTGCAACATAATACGACTGTATCTCTAATGACTGTGGAAAATGATGGCAATAATCTCAAAGGGCTAAAAGACTTAAAGATCTGCTCTGTTTCTGCTTAAGTAGCAGCGATAACAAAATGCCCCTCAGATTCCTCACACGGGACGAGGACTTTACTAGAGCGCACAAAAACACGGCTCAGCTGAGTATAAATAAACCAACTCTGAAAACAATCGACAGCTCTTTCACAGCTCAAACCCTCTGAACGAAGAGACATTGGTACGTTTTATCCACCTCTTAGCGTAACTAATCAAATAATCACACAAGATTAATAAACAAAAGTTTGCAAAGTTAGTTTTCCTTTCCTTTTCATCACTTTCTAGAGGGTTTTTAAATGTCTTTAATACGTAATGATACCGTAAAACCATGATATGTCTGAACTAGTTTATCATACCGTGAAAATGTCAAACCGTAACACTTTCAATATCAGCTATGATTACATTTACATGATTATGCTCATATCTGCACTTGACCTGAACCCAAAAGTAGGGAGAAATTATGTCAGAGCCCAAACAAACCCATCATGGCTACGTTTACACAGCAGGTAAAAGTGGCCCAAATCTGATTTTCTCAGCAAATCCGATTTTTTTGTTTGGCTGTTCACATTATCTTTTAAATGTGATCTGTATGCGACATCAGTCTGAACAGATCAGCTCCTAAACCGACCCGCATGCACAAAAGAACAGAGCTTCACGTGGCGGCTCGTCCAGAGGTAAACAGTCATGACGGCCAGTGAACGCCAGTCGCTCCCGCAGCTTTCAGTTTCATCTTCGCCAGCATCGCAGGAGCGATTATAAAGATCCAGTGGTTGACAGCTGGACTCATCACCCACAATGTGTTCGAGTTCACCGTAAAAGGGCGCGTTATTCGGTCACGGCCACTTCTTTGGTCCTCGGATTCTTTAAACTGTTCTTTAACGCTGCAGCCTCGGGCTCCTCCGGCCGCGTTCGGCCGTTTTGTTCGAATCCTCTTCGAACAGGGAGCCGTTTGATGAGTCTCTTCTAATGTTTTGGTACAGAAACATCAGACCAAATGTTTATGAGTCTCAGCAGCACGAAATTATGATGAATGTTGAGTTGGACTGACGTAAAAGTCGCATGAATTCCGATCTGGCTGTTCAGACTGAGTCGCATTGCCGCAGATCGGATACGTATCGGATTTCAGTACCACATATGAAAGTGCTTTAAATCAGAACTGAAAATGTCCGATTCAGTGCGTTTTTTGCTGTTCACACTGACATCCAGACACACATCTGTGTCACATATGAGGAAAAAGATCGGATTTGGGCCACTTTTACCTGCTGTGTAAACGTCGCCCATGAGTGTCCAGTCAGGTTTGGGCAAGTGTTTCAAGCTCTAGTGTGAGTGGGTGTGTGTGTGTGGGCGTGTGTGTGTGTGTGTGTGTGGGGCGTGTGTGTGTGTGTGGGTGTGTGTGTGTGTGTGTGTGTGTGTGTGTGAGTGAGTGGGTGTGTGTGTGTGTGTGTGTGGTGTGTGTGTGTGTGTATGTGTGTGTGTGTGTTTTTAATACTCACAACATGAAGTCCTGCTCAAAGCACGGCTGATCTCCTCGCACCGTAACCGTCGTGCTCTTGACATTCTGGACCTTCAGAGTCACGTACACATTAAACTTATCTACAAAACACACAAACACGCGGTTTAGCACAAACACATTAAAAAGGACAACAGGACTAATAAAGGTATCAAACTCAGCCAAACTCAATGTTCAGTTTCATACACAGCTTTGCACAACACACGCACACACACACACACACACACACACACACACACACACACACACACACACACACACACACACACTCATGACTCTGAGGTCGCGCATTAGCATCTGCAGTCCTGGGTGAACGCATCATAATGTCAGACTGAATGTGAATAAAACCTGCCTGGTGAGAAAAGCCAGTTCATCTGAACAGGAAAGGATGCAGGAACTGATATTTGCTTCCAGTAGCAGCTCATTTCAAGTTCATACAGGTGAACTTTAACCACACAAACTCACAGACCTTCTGTTCCGGTCTGCTCTTTATGAAAGAATAAAATAGAGGAGCTGTTATTCCACCAATATAACGTTGCTCATCACTCACAACTGCAAAGAAACAAACATGTGGAAAACGAGCGTCTGATATCTTTTACATAAAGAGCTCGTCTCAACTATCTGTGAGTACTGGGGTGGACAATAAGATGACATTTTATCAGTATAGTGATAAAATACGTCACGATACCCTTTTCTGAGCATATCGAGGATCTCATCATTACTCGAAAAACTATGTGTTATTATAAAAAGAGCATCATCAGGCCTGTTTAACTGGATTTAGTGCAGTGCAGTCTGTGATCACTGTAACACATTTTATTTGCGTCACTACAGGTTCTATTTTGTCTGTTCCGACTTATCAAATCTGAGAAAAACAATATTGTGCTGCATATGGTGTCTTGTGAAAATATCTTGAGGTATTGTGATCTAATATTTTTTCCATATTGGACACCCTTAGTGTAAAGTCACCCCCGCACAGCATTTTTTATCATTTTAAAAGGAAACATGGTTTCGTTTTTCCAGCTAAATTCTAGTCATCAATCGCAAACAGCTGCCTTTACTGGACATTGTGATGAAAAATGAGCCTCTCAGAGCAAAATATATATGTGGGATTTTCACAATTGCTGTCTCTACACGATGCACCACAACAGAGGGCTGTGATTCCTGTCAAGGCAGGCAATTTATAAGTATAAGGCTCTGTGATGACAGGCCGAAGTCTGGCTTGCAAGACGAGCTGCTTAGTAACTGAACTACTACATTCTCACGCCAGAACTGCCACAATCGCCTGGTTTATGCTCCATTCCAGCTAAGAAAATAGCCAGGTAAAAGTCAAGTGTGACCACAGCTTAAGACTTCATTAACAACTATCACCAACAAATTAACCCTCGCAACTCAAAAAACTGCACTACATGTCGCTGCTGTCGGAAGAAAATCTCATATCTCCATTTTTGTTTTTCAGTTTTTGACATGATTTGAAAACACCTGTTGCTCTTTACATGAAAAATGGACCAAAAGAAACGGCCCAGAATGACTTGGAAAAACGTCTGGTTCCATTGACTTACATTAAAAATAAAGTTTGTTTTTTCCTTCACAGGTTTAACAGTCATATAATATTCTCATAACAATCTCAGATATATTTGATATATTGACTATATATAAGATTTCACTTCCTCTATATATAGTTTTCTGCACTGCTGTGATTTTTGAAAATCCTGTTTTTCCTTATTTGGGCATCACACAGACTACATTATGACACATGACCAAAGAAATGTATTGTATTATATTATCTGTCCTTAGCATTCATTACACCAAAACAACATGTATTCACTCCTTTGTTTTAAAATAGGTGTCACGTGTTAATTTTTGAGGAATTTTCTTTTTATAAACAGGAAAGTGAAACTGACCTTTTTTCCACATTTTACCAAAATAAATCTCTCTCTATGACTGACACTGACTCTTTCACTAATCCTGCACACGTACATGGACTAAAGCAGGCCGGGCAAAGCCCAGCTGTGTTAAACAACATGAAACAAGGGACGGCACAAAGAGTGGACACTCGTCTCCCGGCTCTGTGTGTGTGTGTTTAAATATGCATGGCGTTATGGAAATGTTAGTTATTTCTGCAGTTTAAATGGACTGTCACAGGTCAGGACAAGCAGCCGTAATTAGACGGAGATAGAAAATGCCACAAGAGCACGATGACAAATCTGAGAGAGAGAGAGAGAGAGAGAGAGAGAGAGAGAGAGAGAAAGGGAGAAAGAAAGAGAAAGGGAGCAGAAGAGAGAAATAGTGAATGACAGAGAGAGCACGAGAGAAGGAGCAAGAGAGGAAGAGTGAGAGAGAGAGTGAGAGAAAGAGTGTCTGTGAGTTTGTCCTTTATCTGGACACTAAAGTCTGTTCGTAACGTTACCGAACAACAGGCCAGAATCTTTTCGTAGTTTTTACAAATTGGATCAAAACCACATTTGGAGGTGGTTTAAAATGCGATTCTGATCGGATGTTTACAGATGCGTCTCAGTCTGGCGATCTGTGATCAGATCGGATTTGTGGGTCCAGACATCGCCAATCTATCTGCAAGGGTTGCCATGGTAACGTTGTAGGCATCAATAACTACGTAGCTATGCTGGTGACGCAGATTTCAAACGCGTGTGCTGGAGAGATGGAGGAGGATCATCTCGCCCTCCAAACTTCAGAATTCTGCAGTGTAAACATGAATCCTTGGAGCTCTTCTTCAATCCCAGCACTTCCCTCACTCTGGATTTGACATCATTGTTGTTTACTACGTTGCGAATAATGCAAAACACACTTTGAAATCCGATTTGCACAGCCAGACTGAGACGCATCTGTAAAAATCTAACTTTCAAACCACCTCCATGTGGTTTGGATCTGATCTGGATTTGGATTTCATGTGTTTTTTGCTGTCCAGACTATCAAAAATCAATCTGGATACAAGCTGAATGCCAAAAATCTGATTTGGGCTGGCAGTCTGAACAAGGCCTCGAGATTACCGAACAACTCCACACAGTTTGAGACGAGTGAGTGGTGATTTAGGCACGCAGTTAGCACCATGCTAATTGGTGTTGCTTAAGCTTCCATTACTTGTTGGCTACATTAGCCTCTTAGCTCCAGTGCTAAACTTAACATGCAAACATCAGAGCCCATCCAGGCTGATCCACTGCAGGCGGTAAACTGGGTAAATCAACTACATTTGGGTAAAGAGGAGAACTCTTTTTCACCAAACTGTCACTTTAAAGGTTCTGCAGCCTAATGCAAGGTCTTAATGTTCTACAGTAGAGGTCACTAATAGGCGGACTGCGGTCCGAGTCCGGACCCAGACGCTGTCCTATGTAGACCTGGACCTTTAACCGATAAACTTTGGAGAATTATTTAATTTCGACAGGGTGGTCCTATTTTAATCGGCGTAGCTTTTCTAGCCTTTACGGTAGCTTTAGCGGCCGGAAACTCACAGACCAATCGCATGCGTTGTAAATATCACACGTGACACTACTCAGCCAATCAGATCTGTGCATTATGATGAGCACTGAGACTTGAGTGAGTGACGCACACACAGGGGAGGGACAAGGCGAGACAGGCAGTCGGAGAAGAAAGTGCGCCAGATTATTTCACATGGCGTACTCTAAAAAGAGAAAACTGACAATAAATGTTGTTGAAATATGACTGAATTGTACTTTATTTGATTGACATTCAGTTTTTGACTGTATAAGATGTTGATATACCTACTAGGCTACTTCAGTAAACAGTATATGGCACTGAAACATAATGCAAGTGATGTTCTGGACCTTCACTTGAGGAAATTTTCTCTAACTGGACCTTACTGAATTTTAATTAAAGACCCAGTTCTACAGCATGTAGTTTCTGAAAGCATCTGGACATGAAAAAGCACCTGACGCCTCTCCAGCACACTGTTCTCTTCATTTCTTCATTTTTGTTTAGATGCTGTTGCTGTGATGTGCTTCAGAGTGAAGAACCCGCTCAGTACCCAGTCTGAGGGGATTCAGCTCTGGGATATTATGTTGTGAGTGTGCGGCCCGGTTTTAACTCTTAACCTCCGGCTCTGTTCACCTATTATTATCATCCCCCCATTTCAATCCCTCCATCACACAAACACACCTGCTCTGACCAATAACAGAGAGAGAGACAGAGAGAGAGAGAGATTCTCCATATATTCGTCTAGTTGAGACTACTTGAGATGTAATCCCACTTTTATTACTTCCACAGTAAGAGAGAGAGTGTGTGTGTGTGCGTGTGTGTGTGTGTGCGTGTGTGTGTGTGTGTGTGTGTTGAATAGTGGTAGTCGGGTTAGGTTCTCTGCACATGTATCACTTGGTACTCTCTGCTCTCATACACAATCTTACACCCAAGACACACACACACACACACACACACACACACACACTTTTAAAATCCTAAGAGAGAAGACTGACTATCTCACACAAAGAAACACACCTAACAGTAGCAAGAAAAATATGCATATTTATAAGATCCATTCACGGCTACTGACAGAATTCATTCCATTGGCTACTGATAGGAACCTTTAAATTGACCTTTGACAAGGTGTATTCATGGCAGAATCCATTTACGGTTACCGACAGAATCTGTTCTATTGGCAATTGACAAGATCCATTCATGGCTATTGATATGATCCATTCACAGCTATTGACAGGATCCATTCCATTGGCTTATGACGAGATACATTTATGGCTATTGATAGGATCCATTCCACTGCTACTGACAGGACCCATTCATGGCTATTGACAGGATCCAGTCCATTGACTATTGACACATTCCATTCATAGCTACGGCTATTGACAGGATCTACTCCGTTGGCTGTTGACATGATACAGTCATGGCTACTGACAGGATTCATTCCATTGGATTCTGACAGGATCCATCTTATGGGTTATTGACAGGATCAATTCATGGCTACTGACAGAACCCACTCATGATTATTGAGTGGCTTTTGATAGGATTCACGCCATTGGTTGTTGACATTATAGATTCACATGCTAATGACTGGAACTATTATACTGGCTATTGACAGGAGTCATTCATGGTTATTAACAGG